ATGTCCTGTGGTTGGGGGATATCGGTGTATCGGTGGGATATCGGAAAGTATTATGCGCAATCCGGGTCGCGGTCCACGGCGGCCACTTAGCCTTGGCGCCGCAGTATCTTCAGCGAGCACATGCGCGTGCCTTAGAGCAGCAGCGCTAAAAAAAGGGGGCAACGAATCATGAACGGAGGCGCTGGCAAATCATGATTGATCCCTCCTTTCCGACAATGCAGTATATGGTGGTTATGTCAGAAAAGCTTGTCCATCCTTAAGCACCCCCAGCATTTCCAATCTTGCGGGCAGCTAAAGAAGATGGGCAACGAATCATGAACGGAGGCGCTGGCAAATCATGATTCGATCCATCTTTTTGGACAACGCCGCACATGGTCTATGTCAGAAATTCCTTTCTATCCTTAGGCATCTGCAGCATGTCTACTCTTGCGTGCAGCCACAAAAAAAGGCAACGAATCATGAACAAAGGAGCTGGCAAATCACGATTGGACCCCTGCTTTTCACAGAGTGCATTATACGGTGATCGTGTCAAAGTTCCTGCCGATCCTCCGGCATCCAACCATGAGATCGCAGCCATGAGTTGCGCGCTCTGTGTTAGCCTTGACGCCGCAATAGCTTCAGCGAGCACGTGAGCGTGCCTTGGAGCAGCAGCAGTTTGGGGGCACGGAAGATTTCCTGTTTGATGAAACCGGGTGAAGCAGCATAGTGCATGTTAGAGTTGAAGCGGTCAGACGCATCGGCTCTGCTGAAGGAGACACCATTAGTTCTACGAGTCAGACAAATGGCTTTGTTGGAAACGATAAAGACCAACATGCTTTTTCAGTACCCAACCGTTCGACGGTTGGGTATCCCGGATTACAGGTGAGTATGTTTTTTCGGGTTTTGCGGGTTCGAGAGCGGTGGCGTTGTTCGCGCGTTTCTTCGATCCCCAATGCCATTTGTCCACCCATCCACTCCCAAACGCGCATTCTCTTTCGTATCGGGGGCCAGATAGGTTTTGGGCGCCGATCGGGGAGGTCCAGGGATCGCTGCCAGGGAGTCCTGAGAAATCGGGGAGTTTTGGGGCCACCGGAAAGGGTGATGGACGCTTGGGAGTTCAGAGAGTTGGTCCTTTGATCTTGGTCTTGTTCTCTTCTCTGCTAACATGGGGTTGAAGAGAAAATTTTGACTCAAGAGGCGTTGGTGACCTGTGGTCAGCGCACCTCAATATAAAGAGGCTGAGGTGTCTACAACGTCACCAAAGTCATTTTGTATACATATTATGTAACTAGATTTCTGTCACCCCATATCTTGCCTTTTTCTTGGCAAACGCAGACTCTGTGGACCCCGACTTTAGATGATTTGCTCTGGAATTTGTTGTCTTGATAATGACTTACTACTGTAAGGCCTATGCGCGAAGCTTGAAAGGCACTGTTATCCGTCGGTCAATGGATTCAAAAGGTATTGAATTTGCCATGGTGGCTGAGACCACGAGACGTCGTCCGCTTGAAGTCCTTTTCGGATATCCAACATGATGCCAGGAAGTTTCGGTTACGTGAAATATATCAGTACGTGTTGACAGAAATCTAGTTACATAATCTGTATACAAAATGACTTTGGTGACGTTGTAGACACCTCAGCCTCTTTATATTGAGGTGCGCTGACCACAGGTCACCAACGCCTCTTGAGTCAAAATTTTCTCTTCAACCCCATGTTAGCAGAGAAGAGAACAAGACCAAGATCAAAGGACCAACTCTCTGAACTCCCAAGCGTCCATCACCCTTTCCGGTGGCCCCAAAACTCCCCGATTTCTCAGGACTCCCTGGCAGCGATCCCTGGACCTCCCCGATCGGCGCCCAAAACCTATCTGGCCCCCGATACGAAAGAGAATGCGCGTTTGGGAGTGGATGGGTGGACAAATGGCATTGGGGATCGAAGAAACGCGCGAACAACGCCACCGCTCTCGAACCCGCAAAACCCGAAAAAACATACTCACCTGTAATCCGGGATACCCAACCGTCGAACGGTTGGGTACTGAAAAAGCATGTTGGTCTTTATCGTTTCCAACAAAGCCATTTGTCTGACTCGTAGAACTAATGGTGTCTCCTTCAGCAGAGCCGATGCGTCTGACCGCTTCAACTCTAACATACACTATGCTGCTTCACCCGGTTTCATCAAACAGGAAATCTTCCGTGCCCCCAAACTGCTGCTGCTCCAAGGCACGCTCACGTGCTCGCTGAAGCTATTGCGGCGTCAAGGCTAACGCAGAGCGCGCAACTCATGGCTGCGATCTCATGGTTGGATGCCGGAGGATCGGCAGGAACTTTGACACGATCACCGTATAATGCACTCTGTGAAAAGCAGGGGTCCAATCGTGATTTGCCAGCTCCTTTGTTCATGATTCGTTGCCTTTTTTTGTGGCTGCCCGCAAGAGTAGACATGCTGCAGATGCCTAAGGATAGAAAGGAATTTCTGACATAATGACCATGTGCGGCGTTGTCCAAAAAGATGGATCGAATCATGATTTGCCAGCGCCTCCGTTCATGATTCGTTGCCCATCTTCTTTAGCTGCCCGCAAGATTGGAAATGCTGGGGGTGCTTAAGGATGGACAAGCTTTTCTGACATAACCACCATATACTGCATTGTCGGAAAGGAGGGATCAATCATGATTTGCCAGCGCCTCCGTTCATGATTCGTTGCCCCCTTTTTTTAGCGCTGCTGCTCGCAGGCACGCGCATGTGCTCGCTGAAGATACTGCGGTGCCAAGCCTGACGCAGAGCGCGCAACTCATGGCCGCGATCTCATTTCTTCCTGTCAGCCACTCAGCCACTCAGGCTTTCTGAGCCACTGAGGCTTTCTTCCTGTCAGCCACTGAGTGGCAGGAAGAAAATCCGCATTTCCACGTACAATCAGATATCGGTGTATCGGGGTATCGGTGCGCGCGCCGATATCCATGTGGCTGCATGGGGTATAGATATCGGTAGGGGATATCGGTGCGCCGCCGACACGCCGATATCCTGCTGGTGGGGGATATCGGTGTATCGGTGTATCGGTGCGGCGCAGATTGGAAACCCGCGGCGCCGGCACAATGAACACTTGTTTGATCAAGGCGCGTCATCCACAAAATCGATGGCCGAGACGGACGAGGATGTGTCTGAGATAGCAAGACCTGGCAAAGGAGAACGGTGCACAACCAGCAAACAAACCGACAAGCCGTAGATCTACAGTTGGAAGCAGCATGTCAACTTTGACCTGAGTATGAAGGCGAAAGCAACCTGACGCAGCACAACGTATCCACTACATGCCCCTACCACTACACTAGATTCCACAAGTTGGCACAAAGGGTGCTTGATGAACTGTTGAATTGAAAATAAAGGGGATTCGAATTAGTCGGCCCACCACTCTTAGAGGATTCCGATTGGCTTCGACTCCCACGATCCATCGATCACTTTCTGCTTCAAAATGCGATGGACAGCTTCCCCTACCGCACACAATGCAACGAGACACTGATCTTTCAAGATCTTTCAACACTCTCCTAAGGCCAGCACAGACTGGTGTGCTTTGCTCGGCCAACTGGGACTTAGTGAAGACCTCAATGCTCAGCTAGCAGCAACACCTATCACTAATAAGTTCTTGAAGTTTTTTGGAGAGCATTGGAATCCAAATGACGGACTTGCACACATGGACCTTGCTTAATTCCTTGACCGACACCTGGCAAATGCTGCGCTCAGGAGGAATTGACCTGC